TTTATTTTTAATATTGGGTTTTTTTGTGCCAGAGCTCAGTTCTCTATCAGTCTGAAAACTCACTCATCTCATGGAATGATTTTCTACGTTTCGGATCAAAAAGAGACCAACTTCATGGCCCTTTTCGTTGCTCATGGCCGACTCATTTTTATGTTTAATGCTGGTCATCAGAAGATAAGGATTAAGAGCCAAGAGAAATACAATGATGGTCTGTGGCATGATGTAAGTAAAAGAAATCAATCATTATGATGGCATATCCTATCAAGGCTGCAGTAAAGACACTGCTAATGTGACAGCTCAGGGAGTTTGCATTCATGTATTCATAAATACACCTATATGTTGAGAAACTTCCACCAATATTTTTAAATCTTCCATGTTGCATTTTATCAAGTCATTAATTAAGGGCAGGAAAGTGAGTCAGTTATAAAAATCCAGGAAATCCCAACACTAACAGCTGAATAGAAGTGATAGAAACAAGCAGAACAGTAAGGCAATTAAGAGTTAAGTGAGCTAGGAAAGAAATAACTATGATAATTTTGTTCAGCAAATGTCTTTGAAATGCCTACAAGCACAGCTGTCTTGGGCTCCCTCTGTAGTCTATGAAAAAAAGACAATTTTAGGAGTCAGGGTGAATTTCCCTCTGTAGGTATCTCTCTTCACACTAACTACCGAGGAAGTCTACAGTTACTAAGCCACTGACTTGGGCATTTAAGTGTTTAAAGCAAGTTGGATGAATCCAGACCATAAAGCTAGTAAAGACTGTGAAAATGCCAACAGTGATAGGTAGCAACAAATCATGTAGACCTTGTCACACCTTGATTACCTCTGCCTTGTACATCAAAACATAAGAAAGTCAGCAGTTTTATTATCTAGCTTTCACATGAATGTGAAAAAAGAGGGTTGCCCAGCAAAGAATACTGGCAGTTAACAAAATGGGCTGGTAGAGTATCACTCACAAGCTTTTCTTCTCAAATATCTTATCTTCTCCCACTGCACAGGAGTGATCCCTTAACAAAGGAAAGTAATCTTCCACACTTTTTTTCTTCCCTTCCTAGGTGATATTTACTAGAGGCAAAAATATTGGTCACTTGATAATTGATGGTCTCCGAGTACTGGAAGAATCTTTTGGCGGCAATACTAATGCTTGGCAAGTCACTGCACCACTCTATATTGGAGGTGTAGCTCCCGGAAAAGCCGTAAAAAATATCCAGGTAAAGCAGACACCTGTTAAATCAGCCCATACCTCTATGTACAGCTAATACAAAAGCTGACTGTAGGGATGGGTTCAGCCGAAAGCATATTAAGATCTGAATCCTCGGCACACTGTGGAGCAAACACCTCAGTTCAAGTCTATAGCAAAGCTCCCACATGACTGGGCTGGTGGTAGCTCATCTAGGCTTCCACAGACTTGCAGCAGCAGCAACTGGAAAGCCAGTGGTTCAGAAGGAACAGAAAAATCTTAGTAACATCCAAGCTGAGATGACACAGGTAAAGTTACACAAGATCAATTTCACCCTGAAGTCTGACATGTAGGATGGGTTTCAAAGAGATTTGAATTTTCTTTTAGTATCTCTGTTTTAAGACAGTACCTAGAAGTCAGGATTCTGTCCTACAGCTTGGTACTGAAGTATGTGGAAAGGATTGTTAAAGCAAAAATGAACATAACAAAGTCTCATTCAAGGTAATCTTTAGAATTTTAATTAAGAACAGTTTCCAGAGAAGAGAAGCAGGAAAAGTGCTTTTTGTAGCCTCTCATGTCTCTCTTGCCTTCAAGTTAATTCCAGGTTGTGTTGTTTCTCAAAGAGTCCTTACTGAACTGTGAGAAACAAAACACAGCTAGAGCAAGGCAGTGTTATACATACCTCACAGCATCGAGGCAAGATAGGGGTCTGCTTTTTCAGTCTGCTTTTCCTATCTTGTTAGGAATGTTAAAGCAAAAATGAACATAACAAAGTTTACTTCAAGGCAATCTTCAGCGTTATGAGCCTAACAAGGGAAATTATTGTGGAATAATGTGGCTAAGACAAGTACACCAGTAAATGGTCACTCCTTACGTTTTTTAATTAATAAAACAACACGTAATTAAAATGAGCCAGACAATCACAGCCTTACAGCCTTAGCTTATAAACAAGTAAAAATAAGGACAGGAGAATTTATTTCCTTCCACAAGCAGTTTATCTACTAATCATGCTTTTTTTACCCCTCAGATTAATTCTGTCTACAGTTTCAGTGGCTGTCTCAGCAACTTACAGCTCAATGGAAGATCAATTACTTCAGCTTCGCAGACATTTAGTGTAACGCCTTGCTTTGAAGGCCCATCAGAAGCAGGAACATACTTTTCATCAGAAGGAGGATATGTCGTCCTTGGTAATACACTTCTAAACAAATGTATCCTATAATGAGATTGTGCTTCAGAATGGCATATTTCACTAAAGGATATAGTAATTTTTGAGGCTGGGAGCTGTAAGGATACAGATCATTATTGTGGTAAGCAGCTGATGTTGACAGGTCCCAATGTCACCGTGAAACTTAACATAAACACATCTGTGTGTATGTATTTCAAATAATTAGAATAATTTCACAAGGGAACTGGTTATAATATGGTAAAAATTAACGTAGAAGTCAATGTTGCTAAGACAAGTACACCAGCAAATGGGCACCCCTTAAGTTTTTTAATTAATAAAACAACACGTAATTAAAAAATCCTACAGAAATTCTTTCTGCATGTTTAATGCAGAACAGCATGAAAGAACACATGTTTTTGTCATTTAGTCCTGCTGTGTTTCAGGAAGTGTTTTATAAGGGTGATTTGGTCACATAGGCTCTGATCTAAACAAGAAAGGAAACTGCATAACCCAATTCATTGGCAACACCGAGAATCAGACAGTATTTCTCATTTGCTCCCTGGCCTGCCACCAGATTGAAAAAGGGAGTTTCTCCTTCTGAATCATCAAAGCTCAAGTGGATTCCCACTCACTCAATAATGACTGCTGAATGTCTAGCAAATTACATAGTAAGAAACTGCCAAAAAATACAGATAATTTACTTCCTGTTGTCCATTTCATTTCTAAGAAATTTTTAAACAAAATACATTTTTTAAATAATGAGAAAAAATAAATAAACCTTCATTAGTATTCCAAGTAAACACAATCAAAACAAAACTTGAAATGGGTCATTGACAGCACACCAGGCTATCTCATGTTTCAATAGTTTTAAGGACAAATAAATTCTACTCTGGGTTTGATTTTCTATTTTGACTTTGAATAAATGCCCAATTTCATCACTAACTCAGCACAAAAACAGTGTTATTCTTTTTACTTCACAGATGAATCCTTCAGTTTAGGTCTGAAATTTGAAGTTGTTTTTGAAATACGTCCTCGAAGCAGCTCAGGAATTCTACTGCATGGTCACAGTGTGAATGGAGAGTACTTGAATATGCACATGAGAAATGGACAGGTATAATGAAGGTCATATTTCCTCCACTGCTTTGACTGATTTCTCTTCCACCTACTTGGGCTTTGCTACGTGCAATTCTGTCTTACAAATTTGCCATTAATTGATTCTTATTTCTCTCCTAAATATGATAACTGCTTAGATTAGGCAATCCAGACTTTTATTTTAAAATACAAAAGATAACATCTAGGACAAGATCAGATCACTTTACTGGCACAAACTATAAATATTTCATGAGCAGTTGAAAAGAAGCAAAAGCACTGACTCTTTGGTGCTGTTCTTTCACCTACACATTAAAAATGTCGCAAGTAAGGTAACTGCTGATGAATTTTAATTTCTTGTTTGTTAAAAGAGAAGTCTGAGTTGCACTCAGTCTCTTCTTCCTTTAACATATATGTGTGTGATGGGGAGAGAAATGCAACACCTGAGGAAACATGCTGTCACCTCTCTTACAAGAGCAGGAACCTACAGCAGAGTGACTGAGTGGACAGTTGAACATGGTGAAAGCAGGTGTCTAATACAGGTGACTAAGTGAGCTATTATTCAGAGAACCTATTTTTCTATATTGGTTATCAATGGAACAACGGGTCTTTCAGTTAGGCACCTAACTTTTGACAGCTAACTAGGTAAGATAAAGGTTATCCTTACCCATGTAGCTAGCTCTTGGTGAACTAACAAATTGTAAAAGTACACTGCATTGCTGCATATCATGCCACACTTAAAGGCTGAATCTGTATACAACTGGTCCAGTCTAGTATTTCTTATGTAAAGTTCTAACTGGAGGTCTGGATGTCTAGAAACTTGTTTGGTTTTCCCAGCTGTATCAGTTGGTCTAACAAAAGATGCTGTCTCATTTACTGCTTCAAACCTCACCTCCTGTACAATGCATATGCAATTCATAAACAAAATTCACTGTGAAAAAGCAGCTCTTCCCTGCTTGTCACTGCAGCAGTCCAGTACATTCTTAGTAAGCATTTGTGTTTCTTTAGCATTAACTATCTGTTCCCTTTGAATGCATTATGAAAGACTTGCTTTGTGAAAACAGTTTTGCTGGACAAATAAGATCAGCAATTTTAATTCATTTTTTAAATGTACACATCTCTATCAGTACAGCTTGTCTGGGTGATTTATTAAGGAGTCACTTTCCCTCATGATTCTTTGTTTGCTTTAATCTATATATTTTGTTTGAGGGTGGATAAAAGAGAACATGAGGATCATTTCAATTGTGTTTGCTGGTGCCCCTCTGCAAAAAAAAAAATATTTAAAACTTCTTAGTTACAACTATATCAGAGACCCTCTAGAATTAAATAGAAGTTCTTTCCTTGAGAGAGACTATTTACAAGGGCCTGTAGTGGCAGGGCAAGTGGGAATGGCTTCAAACTGAAAGAGAGTAGGTTTAGATTAGATATTAGGAAGAAATTTTTTACTGTAGGTTGATGAGGCACTGGAACAGGTTGCCCAGTGAAATTGTGGATGCTCCATCCCTGCAAGTGTTCAAGGATAGGTTAGATAGGGCTACAAGCAACCTGATCCAGTGGAAGATGTCCCTGCCCATGGCAGGGGGGTTGGAACTAGATGACCTTTAAGGTTCCTTTCAACTGAAATCATCCTTTGATTCTGTTATTTTCAGTCCATACCGTGTCAGCATGATCAGGGGCAACTTCGATGTTTGAAAAGCCTGAGTGGCTGAACTCAGTCTGGAGTTCTCTGGCAGTCATCGCTGGGAATCTCATGTCCCTCAATAGGGGCACAACACTGCTCTGCTGCTGCTGTAACATTTCCAGGCAGAAAGATACTAATCCATTAGCTAAAGCAGAGGTGCAAAATTCAGAATTAGGTTCACTTTCTAGCTCTGCCAGAGATTTATCGGTAAACTTGAAAAAGTAACTTAAAAGTCATTCTGAAATTCACTACCTATTCCTTTCTCACATCTTTTCTGTTTGTTTATACTTGGGGTTTTCATTACTGTTTTCCTTATTAAGTGGCTAGAAAGATGCCAAAACATCATCTGATGTTTCTAAACACTAATTTACCATATAGGAAATTATAGAGTAGAGGTACTAGAAAATGAGTGAAATTAGCTGTTATTTTTAAATCTTTTTTTTTGAACTCTTCCTTGAGTTAAATTAGAAATGTCTCAGAACTATTGAATCTGAACAATAATTAAAAACAAAACCACACTAAACAAAACAAACAAACAAACAAAAATCCGCCTAAATTGTGGATTAAAAAAGGTACTTTATTTTGAAGAATTTAATGAAATCATGTTTTCCTTTCTCTTGGATACTTGACATATTTTGAGTGAGGAATACATCATTATTATAACTGAAGTTAAAAAGAGTAAAGGAGGGTGTTTACAGTGACAATTACATTATTTTCCCCAGGTTACTGTGAAATTGAATAATGGAATCAGGGATTTTTCAACTTCAGTGACACTGAAACAGAGTCTCTGTGATGGCAGGTGGCATCGAATTGCAGGTCAGTAAAATGCAATCATCCCCTAATTAAGGTGACAGAGCCCATCTCTCCCTCCCCAGATATCCAGCTCCATGGGCTAGAGCACTAGGAACGTGGTCGTATTTTCAGTTCTTCTTTTTCACCTGTCAAGACCCAAGTTTGTGTGAAAGATGCAGTCTTATTCATCCCTCAGATACAGAACTGTAGAGCCTTCTGGGAGGACAAGGAGAAGTTCCTGTGAAGATATGAAGAACAAGCAAAGATGGAAGCTCCTTATTCAAAAAACACAAAGCAGCCTAGCTGAAATGCTGGCAACCTTTCCTAAGTCACATACATGATGATATTCTTCCTTTCTCAATTAGAGGTTAAATAAGTTGGTAGAATGTAATAGGCACAAGTATATGCCGCCTTTAAAGGTCAAGACAGACCTGAGGAGCCTTTTGCTCACAATAGAGAGATGTTTACAGCCAGGATTTTGCCCCTATGCCAGAGAGTCATCCTTCTTTCCTGGATTTGAAAGTCAAAAAAGTACTTCTAAACCCCAGGTACTTTGAACCCCTTTACCTTCCTGTCTAGATGCTGACTTAGGATGTCTCCAGCTGTCACATCAAGAGATCTGAGTATGCACCCTTTCCCCGTGCATTCTGGTTCCCTTCTGAAGGAAACCCAGGCACACAAGCAAGGAGGAAACATCACTGCATTCCAATACATCCGCTATTGGGAATGATTTGGCAAACAATTTTCCTAAGCCACACACCATTGTATGCTCATATTTGACAGCCTAGACACAGCCACCAGCAATCAAGAGCCCCACTCAAAAGCACCCTTGCTCCCACTCTGTATTTTCCACTGGCCCTTCTGCCCACATGCTGTCACTGAGGGCTCACACTCAATCTAGCAAACACTAAATTAACTAATCAGATGAAACAGATAACTCCCTTCTGTCATAAAAAACTCATGTGCTACTTCTTATTGATCCCTGTTCCTTCTCCTTTCAGTTATTAGAGATGCTAATGTGGTGCAGCTGGATGTAGACTCTGAAGTCAACCATGTGGTAGGGCCACTAAATCCAAAGGCAATTGACCACAGGGAGCCAGTGTTTATTGGAGGTGTACCAGGTACGTTTTTCACAGCTTTGTGGTATGTTGTTCTCAGATTTCAACACTGTTTCCAGAGAAAGCATAAAGACTTAGTTTTCGTGTCAAAAAATAACAAAACATGTGAACAACTTGGTAAAATTCAAAGGCACAAGAGCAGATCAGAAATGTTCTGTCTCAAGTTCTCAAAGAAAAGAGAGTGCTGCTCCATTGAAATCAAAACATTCACAGCTGCTGGAGGGTCAGTAAGGACTAAGTAGAGAAGTCAGCCAGGTACAAAAAAAATCCTTCTTTTTCTATTTTACCTTCCACTATGGGTTTACTGTTCTTTTAAGAAACAATTTATTTATTTATGGGATTGGAAACTCGCTGTCACTGTCACTGGAGTCTCAAGGTTTAGTTGCTGGTAGGCTTCTTTCCTTATCTTCAAGCAATGGCATCTTTGAAAACAAGACAAAACAAGGAGATTCTTTTTCTGACTAGTTGTTTCTATTGCACAGATGTCTGCTCATGTGTATTGGTGACTCACAGACCATCTGTGTAGCGTGGGCCAAGATTACTACATTTACTTCCCTTATTCAACAGACAGAGCTACTCTGTTGGGGTTCATATACAAACTGTAATCAACACTACGTGATTCAATTTTTAAGTCAACTCCTGTACATTTCTCATTGAAAACATGCAGCATTATTTCTCTGTGCCTTGCATGTCAATCATGAAGCTCTAACTACAAAATTCATTATATTGCTTATCTTGGATTAGTGGCTTGAGTGTGTGGTGTTCACATCCATTCCACACTACCAGGAGGTAAAATGAGCCTAAGAGGAATAATAAAACCTATGCACAGATGCCTCTTCATCTTTAAATCCAAACTGGAATTTTATTAGGACAGAACTCTTCCCAGAGAGGTAATATAAAGGGGTAATTGCAAATGCTGTTCTGCTTCATAACGGAGCCTTCTATTTCTACATTAATTATAGCATACTAAGGTAATGCCATTCACTGGCTCTATAACACTATTATCACCCTGGTACAGAAAAATCTTACATAGAACTTCACAAAACCAAACAAGATATAATACTAAATAATACCATGCAAATCCCCAGATCTTTGTTTGCGAAGCCTAGCCATGATGATGTGATGATGATGACCATGCAAATACAGCAAATTAGATGCAAACTAACAAATCAGACACAGTAATGTAATGTATAATTACAAAAACAGACAAGGAGATTCATCTATTCTTACTTAAAAGAAAATGCAGTTGTCAAAAAATGCTGTTTTTCTCTCTGCTGACAATGTGGTATCAAGGCTTTACATAACTGTAGATAACTAACCATACTTACTCTAATGACCTCTACACTGACAGTAAGCCAGGTGTTTTAAAAGACCCACTGAAGATTCAGCAGAGCTGCAGTTAGTTGCAAATTTAAAAGATTCTGCCACCGAACTGATGATTTTGGTCATCGTGAGCTCTAAATCTTTATTTATTTAATTTTTTTATATGCTTCTTTCAGAGTCTCTGCTAACAACGAGCCTGACTACACGCAATTCCTTCATTGGCTGCATTCGTAACTTCATGATTGATGAAAAGCCAGTGAGTTTTAGTAAAGCAGCTTTGGTTAGTGGTGCTGTAAGCATTAATACCTGTCCAGCAGCCTGATAGCGCACTGCATTGATCATGTAAAGTTCCTTAGACCACAGAAAGAAAAATAGAACAAAAGTAACCATGTTCAGCAAGAGAAGAAGAATGAAAATATCACAACTACATCTACAGAAAGCAGCATGCTTAAGGGTCACGTCTAATATTTACATGCAAAGAAAAATCACTGAAGAATAAAGGGCTGTTGCTTCTGCACTTCTCTTACTATACCACAAGAGTGAGCTTTACCATTTCTTATAGTGTATGTGTGGCCAGTCTGTTACATGAAAATGTGGGATTATAAAAAAAATTAAAATTATATTAAATATGTTATTTTCAAGATAGATCTCTACATCATTTCACTCCATACTTTAGTCACCCTTTGTTTCACAGGAAAGCATCTGCTAATGCTCTTTAAAGAATAAAGCCAGATAATAGATTTACATCACAAATAACTGTTAAAAGATTTTACTGTATATTTTTAATTTTACATTCCTCAAATAAAATGGGGGGCAGAGAGTATACTAATTATGTAAGCTTACAAACAATGAAAAATTAAAATTTTTATTCCACTTCTAGACTTCATGGATATGTTCTAGCACAGAGTAAAGACAGGATGTATATCTTTTAACATAGATGCTTTATGTATTTGATCATTTACAAAAACTGGGCAGTTTTAGAGTAATACTTGCCTTACATAGAAAGAGGGAGACAAAATTCCAAATTCCAAGTTTTTTCTCTGAATTTTTAAATGCACTTACATAGAAACATAGCACTAAATTCACAGTCTTGTGATTTCATTTGCAGTAATGTAACACAAGTAAACATGAAGCACAGAAAGTAGAATCATGGTCCAATTTCAGTTGACTCTCTTATTTTACAAATTCATCACTTCCTTGTGAGACTGCTGCAGGACTTTAGTTTATAGCAGTAATACTCAAACAAAGAATATGTTCCTCTGGAAGATATGATGCTGCAGAGGAACTGGGAGTGAAACAGGAAGATGTAAACAGAAGGCAAAGGCCTGCAAATCTGAGCTATGTTATAACCATAGAAGGTAGATGGAAGTTAATGCTAGGGTTTAACTCACAGTAGGCTTGAACACAAGTCACTTGCAAAACTTTGTCTCTTCAGTGATCACATAAAGGCATTAAAGCCATTTAGGTTTCTTTTCTCTAAGAATAAAGTACTGTTGACAGAAAGTTTTACGAATGTTGGGAAAATTATTGTTGGAACCAACTCAAAAGATGATCAGCTGCAAAGCAGAAAGTATGAAAGGCGAAAATAAAGGACAACACCCTAGAGACTAAAAATTGATTGGGAATTCATCTGGAAAACACACAAGTGACAACTGGAATCCAAAGATCTTGAATCTATGGACAGCTGGAGGAACCACCAGAATAAGACATGTGTAAGCAGCTTCCCTACTACTTTACCCCTAGTGGGGAAAGGGTTTTGACAGATTGCAGTGGGCTTGGCTTGCTTTGGATAAAGAACTGCAAGCTCTGGATACACTGGCACAGGAATTCTCCAGCAGCTGGGACCCCATCACTGACTCTCCACTTGTCTTTAGAGTCTAGTGTTGGGTGGTAGGTGGATGAGAGAAGACAGCATTGCTCCAGCAGCCACTGCCTCTCCTTTCATCAGCCTTGTCAGCTCTGCTCTTTCTTTCAGTCCCCATGCCTGTTCCACCTGCCTTCTCCTGAACATGTCTCCACTTCCCTTCCCTGGAACTCTCAGGCAATGTGCTTTGAGGACTGATTTCCTTTCCAACTCCTTATGGAGGCCCCGTACTTCTGGCAGCGGTATATAGACTCCTCCTTTCATCACTCCATAGTCCACTGTTTATAAGCAAGCAGTTAAGAGGACACCTTTGCAGCCTCTCTGAATCCAGCATGGGTCTCTCCTGAATTCAGTTGCCTTCAAATGCCATCTTTGTCTCGGATACCAAAACCACTATGCCCACTCAACTCTTTTCTGCTCCTGGCAGATTCAGAACAGAAAATATTTAGGGCTTTTGTTTTGGGAATTTGTGTTGAGGGGGAATGTCCTCAGATCAGTGTGCTGGATTCCCAGTGGGTAGCAGAGGCCATGCATGATGTCATCGCAGTGTAGCTGGGAGCAGGGGCAAAAAAAAGGAAGTCTCCCTCCTTCCAGTGCTAATGAGTTGTTAGATTGGCTCAATCAAGCTCAGGACACCACAACCTG